ATAGTTATTTGTCACACTGAATATTTATGCACAGATCTTTTGAAACCGATTAGGCGGTGAAGAAATGTTCCTGATGTGGAACAGATGACCTGCAAGTGTTTTGCATTGTTTTTTAAGTAACTTTGTTATTCAATAACCCTACGGGAATTAATCTGTTACATGTTTTGTCAACACAAAATAGTGGGCTTTTTAATTCTTTATAGCTCTTTTAATTTGTCAAAAAATCAACTATATTGTAACATTATAAAACGATGTGTCCATACTTACTACGATTTCAGTGTAAACATTATCTCAAATATAACCAGTCGTTATGTCCGATGAAATAAAGGAAAAGCATTAATAGCTGGAATATTGCTGATGGCGGCGTTAAAAAAAACACCAAAAAAAACAGAATCACTTGATAAGATAAAACAATGAATGATCGATTTCAGCTCCAAAGTCACCCTGTCGCTGAGTGGGATGCTTCACTGGCCTCAGGCCACATTTATTTTTCGTCTTTGCTGCCTACAATGACATGACAGACCAACATTATTAATACCTGTCCTAGGCTGTTCCCCTGTTGCATGCTGACCAATTGCAACATGCCACTTGTAACTCAAACCGCAAAGTATCGGTCTGGAACAAAATTTTGATTTCGCAGTAACCACTGTCCACAATGGTCACCGGAATAGCTGTGGAGAGATGCGTACCACGGACACGTCATAAACCTATGATTGTGAGTTCGAATCCCGGTTCGCCCCGATTATGTTTCTAGGTTTGTCAGCACCATACCCATGCTCGTGGGTTTCACCGGAGTAGTAAAGGTCTGAGACCTGCATTACATCGGGCTTTCCTTCCACATTAAGCTTACACGCCGCGATATAACTGGAATACTGTTAAAAGCGGCGTTAATCCCAACTCACTCACTCACTTTGTTTAGGCACCACACTGCATTTCAGTAAATGGTACTTACATTCAGACGTATCCTTATTCACTGTGATGCCTTTGCAGCAGGGCTTTCTCGTCGTGAATGCAGGTACGAGAAAGATATACGTGTACAGGATGATTTACGTATGGCCAGATGGTAATCGATTATACAAAATGTCACAACCAGATGTTACTAAACCTGTAATAGGAGATTGCTCGCTAATTTAACTTTATGTATATGCTTTATTTGTCGGTTAGAATAATTATTTACTGAGCAGGTCTGTTTAACAGAACTAATAAAACGTATACAAATTCACTGGCAGCTGTTTATGGTATTATCGCCAATATTAGAATCATGTTGTTTCAGCGCAACGTGTGTTTAGTTTGGGTCCACGTACGCTTGAAGCTTATGGCACAGAAAATAACACTATAAATGACAACTGTTTCTATAAATACACATTTATCAGTAGTTAAGAACACCAAAGCCTCATTGGTATAATTTTACCTTTTGGAATATTTACGTTTCGACAATTTAATAAAAGATTGGGGCTGTGTGTTTTTGACCACGAGAGTATATATATTTTAGTCAGCACAAGACATACACTATTTGTGCTTGAAAGGTGGACACAAACAATCATGTTGGGACCAACAACTTGTTATCATTTAGAATACCCAGTATGTCCCAAGCCACACCCAGCTTATCAATTGATCTGTCAGTCACCTTTGTCTTGTCCAAAATGAAGTTGATACATAGAATACAAAGGAATGGTGGTTGGGGAATTCGTTGCTGTATATCTTGTAGTCGTTAGACCTAACATTCTCACTACTGACGCCAATGAACTCTAACTACTCAACACAATGGAAGAAACAGCTTTCCGACTCCCGTCGTTCCACATTCTGGCTATTTGGCATGTCATGTATGTATCTGGTATTATATCCACTTCTAAGGAACCGACCATGTGATATTCTCGGAACTCCAGGCCAGGGAATTTTCCATAATAAAACATTCCAGAAAATGCCGGGGAAAGTTAATTCTCCTCTTGTTCTGTCGGTGTAAGATGACACATATACAATCAAGCACCCGATCCCTTCTGTCCAGAATAACGTATATGGGACCTTTTCAATTAAACGTTGTCCGATACGTGACACAATCAGCCAAGTCACACAACCTGACAATCCCAGATGGTTGAAATGTAACAATATGTAATTTATTTACAGCATGTATTTCACCATCCACACGGGTGGCCTAGTCGTCTCATTAAGCCGTCGCAATTCGCTTTGAAAAGTTCCCTCGTCCTGCCAGAAGCGCCGGTCGAGCTTTTGGTTTTGGATTCGCATTTAAGTGAATATGTCAACATACGACGACAACTCCCCTCAATATGTATCCAACTGATTATCAGCGACCGTCTACGGTAATCCAGACAGATCAAATATCCACACGCATGTGAATAAACATGTAATATGAATGTCACTGTAGACAACAACCAATTACAATATATGTTGTTGGGTTTTTTTATGAAAAGCGTATTTTCATTGAGTAAGGATAAGAATTTATGGACGAACAACTTTTTTATTACAATTAAGAGCGACGTCTCGGTGTAAGTTCTACCACCGTTATCAAGCAAGTGAGCGACGTTTCGGTGTAGGTTAGAACCTACACCGAAACGTCGCTCTTATTTGTAATAAAGAAGTTGTTCATCCATAAATTCTTATCCTTACTTAGTACTCCAACTTCTAAATGCCTATGAAAGAAGTATTTTCATTGGTTTTTACGAATTACATACGTTTTGTTAGAATGTAACTGTGACTTATATGAAGCCTGTATTCCGATGCTGATGACGCCCACTGCTTCTACGAATGTCCGTGACAATAGCAGCACGGGACGCCTGCGTGTTGTTGACAGATGCGAGAGGCAAACGAACGCATAAGGAATGGATCCGTGAAGATCCGGGGTAGAATAGGTCTTCAGCAACCCATACTTGCCGTAACAGGCGACTATGCTTGTCGTAAGAGGGGACTAACGGGATCGGGTGGTCAGGCTCGCGGACTTGGTTGATGCATGTCATCGATCCCAATTGCGTGGATCGATGTTCATGGTGTCAATCACTGGATTGTCTGGTCCAGACTCGATTATTTACAGACCGCCTTCATATAGCTGGAACATTGCTGAGTGCGACGTTAAACATATATATATATATATAGTATACCTGTTGGTTAAATGTTTATTCATCGATTGTGTTTTGGGTTACAGAACTAGTGATATAAAGAAAACTATACTGGCAGCTGCTTATTGTGTTATCATTCATACTGGAAATTGTTGCTGCAACAAATGGTATTGTGAAGAAATAGAAGAAAAGAAAATGATAAAACTTTCTTTACAACTACACCCAAAACATTGATCATGGACGTTTGTGCCTTGCTATTACATCCATATTGGTTTACGACATGAATATAAAAACCTCAGAGAATAATCACGCTCGATTATCCGCCGAAACAAAATCGATTGGGGTGTAAAGGCAAAATAGCCAATTGTATGAAAGGATGACTAAAACCAGGGGTTCGCGAAAAAGGTAAGCCACGGTTGCACCCGCCACTCACACAATTTACAGAAAAAAGTATCCGTTGCCATAAGCCAACACCGCAGTACTCCTGCCATGCGACGGTGACCTGCAAACAAAGCAGACACAACACACCAGACAAGTTTATATCCCAGCAGCTCCAGCCGCCTCCGTGGTCTAGTGGTAGAGCGTCCGCCCGGAGAGCGGGAGGTCCGGGGTTCGATCCCCGGCCGCGTCATACCAAAAGACGTTAAAAGATGGCACTTGTTGTTACCCTGTCTGGCGCTCGACATTAAGGGGCTAAAACAAGGACTGGTCGGCTCGGAGTCAGTATACTGTGTCTGAGTGGGGTATTCATGTTAACCTGCGGCATGGTATCTCAGTGAGCTAGCACTATAAATCGGCATCAGTCCGGACTAGTACAAGCAGCCACACACACACACGTGCATGCACGTCGCTATATAAGTGCAATAATCTTGGACGCGACGTTAAACCCAATTTCACCTCACCTCACCTCCAGCAGCTCCAGCCTTTGGTGTTTGCATTTCACAACTTTTGAGATACAATCGACCATGTTCTTTCTACAAACATTTCAAAGAGCGCCATACGACTCTTTCACAGAAGTTGTTTGATCAAGGTTACAACATTCAAGGCTTCAGTAAAGCTTTCAAAAACTTTAATGGTAGACATGACGGGTGAGTGAGTTAAAATTTAACGTCGCTTCGGCATTATTGCAGCCACATAGCGACGGTAGACATGTGGAGGATATTTCCAAATTTGACGCGTCAGTGACAAAAATGATGCCCGATGCTTTTCCCTTTTTTGACTTGTATCATATGATTTTTTTCAGGGTGAACAATTGACTCGCCTGTGCATGTGTGGGGCAGGAAACGCTCACCTTTTCGCGAACACCTGGTATCATCACTAATTGATAGTGATTTATATACGCATGCTCATGATATTGTGGGAATCGTACAATCGTCTGTTCTTTATGCAGACATTGGATATCTATTGGATATGAAAAGGGCTTTGTGTGTATATATATATACCAGATGAGGCAGTTTCACTGGTCTCTTAGATTTTCAGTTTCGGTGAATCATCAGTAGAAGGGTATTAGTTATTTGACTATTATTTAGCGATATCAGATAATCAAGACACCTTAAGTTTTTACCAATCCGAACAGAAATTCCAATGAATATGCGTATAGAATCAAATCATGGCAGTACATTTGGTGCCCATGGCAGTACGGATGCTGACTTCTTGCCAAATTGTCTTATTCTCAAAGTTCACCTCTTTAAGCTGTATAAAGTCCAGTATTTAGTTAGTCCACATTTAGTAAACTTCAGATAACATTTGCCTTCATTTTTGCCAAAATGTCCTCGGCCTTTGAGGCCAGAGATGTAACAATATCTGTGGTCACCATGTTTAGTGCCCAACTTGCCCGTTGGGTCAAAGAATGAATATTTTTCTGAAGTTTGTTGTGTGGGATAGTGCTGTGCTGTTTCAAATCGATACCAAGAACCATACTCTCAAGTCGATGCTGTCGGCTTTTATTGTTTGTAGAACCACCCATCATCAAAGGCTGGAGTCTTTCAACAATACAGAGCATGGTCTTGTTCTAACTCTGTGCAGTCCCAACGTTTGCTGACTGAGAGACAACAAACATTCCATGCCAAGGGTATGATTTGGTCTTTGTCTATTCAAGGGGCCAAGGCTGCTTCAACGTCCTTTGAATGCCGGAAACAGACTCAATACATCGTCATTGGAATTGTTATAATATGATGTTGGTGTGTGAAGGAAATTACACTAAACTTGGGCTTATCATTTTGTTAAAATGTCCACTAAACGTATCTGTATTTTGCATGTTGTTTTCAGACCCTGAGTTTTGAAAAAAATTGTAGATGTAGCTTAAACAAATATCTAATCTTGATATTATCCCTCACCCACAACACACCTTTAAAAAACAAACCCGAAAGTAAAAACAATATCAAATTGGCGGTCCCTTTGTACTCTCAGTAACATCAGTACATTCCTTGCTCCCTCGTATTAACATAGATGCTTTGCTTTTAATTGTAACCAGATGCTCCATATTCTCGGGTACAACCAAACATTCATTGTTCTCAGGATCCCCTGGAACTTCGACGTCTCTCCTCAGGATGGGGATCAGGAATAAGACCATGGAGCCAAGTAGAGACACCGAGCCTGGAAGTAACGAGATAGGCGTGCCAGCATTAAAGTCAGTATTACAATATGGGCAGCATAAGTAGCATAGTGACTAAAGCTTAAGGTTTGTAACACTCCCCGTCCCAAGTGCTATATCCCCAGGGCATCTACAGTCCTACGCTTGCAAGCTTTTGGATTAACCGTTTTTGTACAGTGTAAGAAAACGAACTGTCGCATGTTTGAATAATATATTTAACATCTTGTATGATTACTATGTGATATTGATTCATACACATCATATGCATGTGTGTATGAATCACTATCAGTATCACGTTGATAAGGATCACCCACTTGAAAGATAAGACATCCAATTATGTGCATCTGTTGAAATAACCAGTCTATATTGTGTGAACGCATGCTAATTAACAAAAGTCCGTTGCCATGTGCCACACAATACGGACAAACAACATGTAACCAATAATCAGTCAGGTCACCTGTAAAAATGAGAGTATATGACTATAACCGAAATGTCAAAAATACACATATTTAATGTCGTGTAAAAGCCACTCTTGGTAGCTTATGTGATCCAGTTATACGATCACAGCCTGGCACTGTCTCATGCTCCCAATGAGTGTCTGGATGGTTGCCCCTGCAACATTGAGCCACACTTCAGTAAGAACATTGCCGTGTTCCTTTAGAGTTTCTGGAAGGACAGGGAGTCTTGAGAGGACATCTGCAGCTCGTTCAACATATCTCGTTAGGGTTGAGGCCATTTGACCGGGCTGGCCGCTCCAAGCGGACAATTGTCTCCTGCTCCTAAGACCCTGGCAGGATGAGGTCGTGCGGTATCGTCCATGAACATAAAGTCCCGTCCGACTGCACCAGCATACGGTCTCACATACACATTTAGAATGTCATCCCTGTAGCACACACCTGTCATCGTGCCCAGCTGTCGTACATGGAGATCACATCCCATAGTAGTCATGTTGGGATATGTTGGAATCCTGAATCTTCCTCTTTGTCCACGTCACATTCGGGAAGGTTATCTGTGAAGACAGTATATCATCAGTGAAAAGTGCTGGAGCCCAGTCCTGGTCTGTCTAATTGACGATATCTTCAGCCCAATCCAAACGTGCCTATGTGTAGTGTCGGGTCAGTGGCAGCAAAGATATGCCCTCCAGAGGCCAGCCTGACAGAGACGATTACGCACTGAGTAGAAATGTTAACGCTAATGGCGTTCTGCAGTTAATTTCTGAGTGTGGTGGCAGTCAGGAAATGAAGATGTCTCACTGCTGTTAGGTGGAACGCTGTTGACCACCTGCATGTCGGTCGGTAGCTGATCCAAACGTCTGGTATTGATTCCATGCCCGGGTGATCAAAGTTCGGCTCACACAAGCATGCCTCTTCATCTGTCTAATTATTTGATCATCCTTGACGCTCAGCTAGGTGCAATCCTCAGCAGCAAATGTTGTACTCTCTGATACTGATGTGCAACGATTTTTCAAGAACAATTTTTCCAGAACCTCGTGCGCATCGTGCCAATGACTGCATGTCTAAGTCCGTTCATCATGAAATTGAGGCCCTTTTGGATGACCCAATCATTATTAAGCAGGACATTTAAATCTTTAGAAATTTAGATTTTTAGATATCATCGAAAGTTAATCCTTAGCAAACTTACTAGTTTAATTGCAATTGTTTTTTAATAAAATAATGATTTTTAGAGCTAATATTAGAAACGTTGTTTTTTTTAAATTGATTTCTTAGTAAGCAAGATATGGTTTCAGGTTTGTTGCGAAAAAGTTACTTGATACTAATTTCATTACTTACCTTGCTTGAAATAGTGAAATTGCTTTTAATGACGCCGTTTCTTCTTTTACATAATGATTTTGTTTTGAGCGTTCCTGTAAATTTTTCAACCAAAAATAAGTCTGGTGTAGATATCTTTATCTATGTGGAAAGGAATATGATATTCTATATTGCAAACATTCTACCATTCTCGATGCTGCTGTGAGCCTTTTTTTAGGTATATATGTATATCCCACTTGTCGTTAGAATGCAAATAGGGACAAACGGAAATGCTTACCACCAATGTGGAATCCCGCTGAGTAGGATGATGTGATGTCGTACAGTGCACCTAGAAGCAGTAGCAGGAGAAACAGGTGCTTGAAAATGTGCATGTAGGTGCAGTGATAAAGTAGGTGTGTGATGGAAATGTATTCATAATGGTGCTCCATATTAATTTAAACAGACGCCTGAGGACCATCATCCTTACACTGAGTGAGCGAATGTTGTTAAACGTCGCAGTCAGCAATGTGCATGTTAACGCACGGTCTATAAATAATCGAAAATAAACCTGGCGAACCAGTGATTGATTACTTGGAGTAAAGATCCACGCCGCCGTGAATGATGAGGCTGTATCAGTGCCTGACGACCTGATTTATTTCATTCGCCTATTAGACCCAGGTTCGATTCCCGACATGGGTACAACTTGTGAAGCCCATTTCTGGTGTCCCCCACCGTGATATTGCTGGAATATTGCTAAAAGCGACGTAAAACCAAACTCACTCACTCACTCATTCGCCTATTACGGCAAGGCGGTGGGGTGCTATCAATCCCAAATGAAACCTGAAAACTGTAAATATGTTTGCACGAAATAATTAAGAATAAGAGACTTTTATTGGACTTGTTATGCCAGCGTAGGTAAATGAAGGTACACGTGTGAGTACATGTATGTACTATTCAAGCACATCAAGTAGTACGTATTTTGGTAAATGAACTTACCTGCAATGGTTGGAGCAATGATGTAACTCATACCACCAATACACATGGTAACTCCAAAAACTGTTGCCAGACGTTCAACTCCGAACAACTCCACAACAATGGGCGTCAATAATATGAAACTAAATCCATAATATACGCCATATAGAACTTGGTATAGAACAAGTTGAGCAAAACCATGTGCGAACAGTGGCATGAACATCATAAGCAAAGCTTTGAGGCCTTGACACGATATATACACCATCAGCAAATCAATGTTCTTGTCGTTACAGATCGCCCCACCCAGAATCCGCGCCACTGTGAGAGTGAGGCCATAGGCGGTGAACAGTGATGGAACTTTGGTCGGTGGTACTCCAACCGAACGCACGTAAGAAGGCAGATGAACGATTTGAATGGAATAGCCCATCATTTCCATGAAATAGTTGAGAGCGATGATCAGTAGGATCTTGTCTTTCAGAACTGTAAATGCGCTGATATGTTTACAAGATATTTTTACATTTTCTCTTCTGCAATGTACGCATTTAACCTTACCAGATACTTCTCTTGGTTCTGAATTTATATCCTCATTTTCCGTTTCCTGGTATTTATTCCAATGGCAACAGAACATAGTCTCTTTATGTCGTTTTGTCCTTTCATGTGGGAATATCAGAGATCCTGTCACAACCATCTGGGCCGTGATGCATCCAAGTGTCGACATCGCAGTCCGCCACCCGAACTGGTCAATCAGCCAGCCAATCAAGTGTGGACCCGAGAGCATACCAACGCCGACAGAAGATAAAGCGATTCCATTGGCTAATACCCTCTTCTTCTGGAAGTAATGGCCGACAGCTATTACGGATGGTGTGTAAATGATGCCATATCCTAACCCTGAATAGGAAAGATAGGCAACTTCAGCCATTGCACTGAGTTTCATACGCATAGATTATTTACTTGCGTTGTGTCATCGATGATAGTAACGTAACAATTTCAGTGTGTTTGAAAGGCATTATTAACAAACGTTAGTCGCTTGCAACATATTTTTAGCGGTACGATAGAATGGCTTTTAATACCAGAGAGTATCCCGTAGCACCCCAGCAATTGTGGAAGAGTGTTGGTAAGGCTGGATGCTACAAGTCCGACAGATAGTATAGTTCCTCCAACCATTATAGATGTACGTATGCTGAACATGTTACAGATGACACTCGCTACAGGACCTGCAACAGATACGTGAATAGTATACCTTCTGGGGATCCAACTATCACAAGTTCATGTTACTGAACCTGTTCCAGATGTCACTCTCTACGGGACGAGCAACACGTAATTGGACATAGTGTCTATTTCCTCCAGGAATAACATCAGTGCGTTTACCGATAACATGTGGCAGAGACATGGACCTGGAAAAATGATAATAAAACCCTCATCAACATTTTCACTTGAATTCTTAAACAACAGTGAGTGTCCTCGTACAAATACCTGATTGAGCAAGCAATGGTTCAAAAGAGTATACAAGATCAAACCACGTGCATTGTAGTCACCTAGTGTTGACTGTAGGCTGATGAAGAGGGAACACACCAAGCTAATATACGCCGTGCTCCCACTGTAGTTCTGGAGAAACCGGTCCTGGAACATCCCTGGGAAATTATAAGGTTTCAGGTACTGACGGTGCTTGATAGTGAAAGTGTATTTCATTACTTGCGTTGTAGTGTAGTGTCTTTCATTACTTGCGTTGTAGTGTAAAGATGATGGGTTACATACATACGTAAACGTCATATAGGAGTGGAACATCCCTAGGAAATGTTTATCGTACTAACGAAAGTTTCGTCCATAACTTGCATCATACTATAGAGTGGATACATGTAGGTTGCATGCATTTCAAAAAGTCATATTTGAATTGATAGGCAAAGACAGAAATTAGCCATGAATGCTTTTCAATTTTCCATTTTAGTTGGACAAGCAATTTATCTAACAGATATAGTATTATTCAACTCTGTGTTTTGTTCACCAGTCCATCCATATCACGATGGGCAACACAGAAATTGGCTTTACATATGAGTCAATGCTTTGACCACTAGGGTAACCAACGTACCCATCACATGACGTTTACATACCTACAGAGATGGTGAGAGTCCCTATCACGAACATGTTGAACACCGTCGCCGCAAGTATCACCCACGCCCACCCACCGTCTGTGTTCCGTAGTGACCTCATCACTTGGCAAACAAACAGTTAAGTAGAAGAATTGTTTTAAAGAAGCCTTCTAACCACACATCAGCTCTTATTATGGTCCATAGTTTGTCAGCGCTATACCCTTGCTCGTTTGATTCACCAATCTGAGAAACATGTTCGACCTGCTTGACGTTGGGTTTCTCTTAACGTTAAACTGTTACACTGTGATATAAAAGACAAACTGTTCAAGGAGGCGTAAAACCCCAGTTGGTTTCAATTGAGAGTTGGGAAGGTCACATCATCCTGGATATGCTGCTGGAGCCTATTACCAAAATATCAACCTCTCTATGAAATGAGGTCCTAGTATTAACCACTTATCAATTATCAAAGGAGATGTACAACATTGAATGACCATTGGGGGCCAATATACAATATTCATGAGAGACCTACACCAATGTACAACAGTTAATGGTCTTTGAGCACCAGTGTACATCCTTGCATGAGCGATAAACAATGTACAACAGTGAATTCTTTTTGGACGTTAATGTGCAACAGTGAACGTTCATTGGACAACAATGTACAATAGTGAATGTTCATCGGGCGCCAATCTATAATAATGCATTATATAGTGATGTCAACCAGTGTTCAACAATTAATGGTCTTTATGCACCAGTGTACATCAACGCATGAGCGATAGACAACAAAGTACAACAGTTTATGCTCGTTGGGCATGCTTGATAGGCTAATTATGTACAGCGCATTAGAGAAGTAAAAAAACAGTATTCCAAGCACAACTTTAAAAACACAAAAAGCATTTACCAACGGATTACAAATGTGTAGGTTGGCGCCTTGAACCCTTGAAACGCCGGCAAATCAGCTGTATGTTTGTGTGCACATAGTTCAACGAATACATAGTAAACACAAAATTTTATATGCATAACCCTTCATAGCAGCTGTCAACTTGTCTATATGTATTGCAACAAGCACAAAGTAAACAAGGCAAATACCTTAAATCTATATCCACATCACAAATACAAGGTATGTTTTCAACAACATATGTTGCAAACCTGAGGCACTTTGTATGCATAGCCCTACATATAATGACACATATACGTTCAACAAACAACATCTGCTATTCAGAAGAATACAGATTAAGTTTATATTACAGGTTATGTATATTATTATTTTTAAATGTGAGAAGGACGTTGAACATGTAGCTTCATCCAGATAAGCGAATACACAAGCTAATAGGCGGCACACTACGACTTACATATTACATTTGAAGTGAGAACGTTTACATTTACAGATAACCGTACATACAGTTACTATATATATCAGCGTTTAACAATGACTGATGAAATATAACTTACCCTTAATCTTGCTGTGGTTTATCTGCTGTGCCCTTGAGACCGTGTCGTCGATGTTTTAACCCCAGCTCTATGTGCACACATCAGCTCGCCTTCTCCGCCAAATGGAATCTGCTTCGGAGATTATCGAGCCCGGATATTCTCTGGTGTTGACGTTTCAGATCTACTGGCTCAACTAGCAGATGTCCTTGTCATACGAGTGAAATCTAAAACCTACATGCCAGCCTCTCGTCACACGCCTTTGCGTCTGCTAGAAAACTGACTCACTGATCAGCTTTAGTTGGATAATGAACGCTTATAATGCTAGTGAATTATATATATACCTCGCTGGTGGTGAATGTCCTCTCCTTTTGTTTGAGGAGTTTCAACACATACCATATTTTTATCTCTGAAGATTTCTTCGATTAAAGAATTCGCATTAATATTTTCATTGGTTTTTTCATGCCAAAATATTTAAACGTTTTGGCAAGAGTCGTATCTCCTCGAAATCAACGTAGAAAATGCTTGTAGATTGTACTTCAAACGCTGTGAAACGTAGACACAAAAGGCTATAAATGAGACCAAAAAAGCCTTTCCATATTCAAAAGATTTTATTTTTTAAAGCAGGCATTCCTATTTCAGCATTTCACATTCAATAAACTTCAGACCATTAAATTGATACTTCACGGGGAAATGGTCTGATAAAAAATGTCATAAGAGTAAGCTGGAGGCCCCGCGAGCACTTAGAAGGTACAGCTAAAGTTCAGCTTTCTTAATAATGCTTAAGCAACTTCGCAATAAATATGTCTATCACTAGATTTAAATGTACTTCATTTGAGAGGGAGCCAGCTGCATTTCTTAGAGATATCGCTTGATGACAGTAAAATATTTTGGAAACAAAGTAAATACATGACTAATAATAGTCCTTCTCAAATAAATATTAGTGCAGTGTTTTAACGATTTGTTTCAAGTTTCACATCAGAACAAAGACGAGTTTAGTGAGTGAGTGAGTGAGTTGGGTGTAACGCCGCTTTTAACAGTATTCCAGTTATATCACGGCGTGTCAGCTTAATGTTGGAGGAAAGCCCGAAGTGATGCAGGTCTCAGACGTTTACCACTTCGGTGAAACCCACGAGCATGGGTATGGTGCTGACAAACCTAGAAACATAATCGGGGCAAACCGGGATTCGAACCCACAATCATAGGTTTCTGGCGTGCCCAAGGGACGCAACTCTGCACAGCGAATCGCGGGGCCTTAGACGACTGGGCCACCCGTGCCCCCAAGACGAGTTTAGACTTACAATAGATGTTTATGATGCTGTTGATGAAGCCGCATTCATCATGAGCTAGAGTCCATAATTACGGAACAAGAGATACTAAATGGTATACAATTTTAAAGAACGGTAAATCTTCAGGCTTAGATATGTTATTACCGGAAATGTTCAAATCTTCATGTAAAATAAGTATGCCATACATGCATGCCATATTTCGTCGGATTTATTCAACAGGCTAGTTTCCACGTGCTTGGAGTAAAGGTATAGTGGTGCCAGTTTAAGACAATGGCCTAATGATACTAATAACGACAGGGGCATACGTTTCAATAGTGTACTGGTATTCGGAAACATTGTTGCACCAATAATTAACTGTAGATTGAAGTATAGGCCGAAAATAATAACAAAATATGTGATGAACAGGCAGGTTTTAGGCCTGGATATACAACAACGGATACCTTGTTCACATTTTATTGCCTGTATACAAAAATATTTGAGTAAACGTAGAGGTAGATTTTATGTTCCCTTTGTAGACTTTCAAAAAGCTTTTAATTCTGTAGACAGGAAAAAAACATGTGTGTTCTCCAATGTGTCCTGCCTGTTTAAATGTTGAATACAATTCAGTCTATGTATTCGCATATGTGCGGTGTAACGCTGTTTTTACGGAGTGCTTCGACTGTCATGTTAGACTAAAACAGGGCTGTGTGTTAAGCCCAATATTATTTTCACTGTTTCATTAACGAGTTGGCCGTTGAAATTCTTGATACTTGTACAGTTATTCCCCAACTTACATGAATTATTTCTATTGATGTTTGCAAATGATGTTAATTAAGTTTCTGCTCGAGTACGTGGACAACAAGAGCAACTAACTATTCTAGATAATTATTGTTCACCTAAAAAAATTAAATGTTAATCTGTGTCGAAAACTAAAATAATTGAATTGTTAAAAAATGTGACAAATGGCATCATCGTAATGAACTTGTGAAACTTGTGTCAGAATATATGTACCTCGGACTCCACCTTCTACTTTAGCAAGAGCAATGTCACATTTGGCGTTCAATAGGAAAAGGTCACTTATAAATGTTTTGAAATTGATTTGGGTTAACAAATTAAACCCATCCTTCTTTATGGATGCGAAATATGGGAACATCAAAGATTAGAGGTAGTAGAAAGGGTCCAATATCAAGCATGTAAATATTATCTTGGTACAGGAATTAACACTCCCAATGCAATGTTTTTGGTGAATGTGGACGGTACCTATTGTTTATAAACAGCACTAAATACTGGCTAAACAGCTTCAAACGCCATCTAATAGACTTCCGCGTAAGGCATATCATACGAGATGTTGTTTAATCTTGATTCAGTAGGTAGACAGAACTGGACAAGTAGTGTTAGATTTATTCTGATTACTTTAGGTCTTGCATATGCTTGGGTGTTCTAAGATGTTAGATGTATAGTTAGTTTTCGTAACCTTTCCATGCTCGTTTGAGAGATATGTACCGCCAAGAATGGACCAATACATTATCATCTAATACTAGATATGAATATTATACAATTTTAAGATAAGCCTAGAAGCATAAAACAAGTTGACTACATTTGACCAGCAGCTGCAAGAGGAGTGGGACCCACTCCCTGAAATTACCATTGGGAGACTCATGCGCAGTATGCCTCGTCGAGTGAAAATCGTGGCAGTATTACGCACTACTTATCTAGAAAAGTAAACCTTAAAATTTCCTATCTTAGCCCTATCGTTCTAATTGTCGTCCCGATTATTGGCCATCATTCCATCTGCTGTCATACTTCACTACCGCATATACATGTAATGTGCAACCTCGCTAGGCATGTGTGATTAAAGTCACAGTAGACTTATTCATTGCTGGAAAGTTTACTAAAAGCAACTTACAGTGTTGAAAATGGTCATTTCCGCGCATTCCCTACTTTTTGGACGGGTTTACAACCGTGTTCTATTTAAAGTACCTCTTTGTATGTACGAGGTATGGCTTGTGTGTGTGTGAGAGGTGTATAGCTGTACAAGAGGTGACTACCTTTAATAAAGATAAGAACGTATATGTCTAGCTGTGACTTCGTTTACACCTGAAGAGGACATTGAACAAGGCAAAGAATTGAATAACACACCAACACGGTTACCAGAGCATAACACATGTGTACCTTGACGTCGTGAAGCCATTATCAAACGCTCGTCTTAGCGTAGGCATGGGTGAAATGCCAGCACACCAGTACGGGTACACAGTAGACAAAGGAAATACCTTGTAATCACATCACTCACACAAGGTACGTTGTACATACATGACCTGAGACATTTTGTATGCATAGCTCTTCATACAATGACACATCTACGTCCACTACACACGCTCTACTATTATGAAGAATGGAACTTAAGTTGGTATTAATGCACATTAATAGAAAAAGAACATGTGGGTATATCACTGAACTATTGAGTTGCGTGGTCTCCTACGTTTGCCTTCTACGCTCAATGGAATCTGCTTCGGTGGATAAAAGAGACTGGTTATTCTCTGGCGTTGGCGTTTTATATCTTCTACCTAAACTAGCAGATGTCTTTGCCATACGAGTGTATTCTGAACGTTACCAATAATCTGAGAGGACAGTAACTGTCTATTGTTTCCAGAATATGATCGCTGTCGTGCTCTTCTACGTTTGCCTTCTACGCTCAATGAAATCTGTAAGTACTTGCAGATGCAACTGCACGAACCATTTCACCCTGAACATTGTAAGACAATTCAGTAAAGGGAACTAACGTTTATTTCTCCTTGCTCTTTCTGGTTTCAATAATAGAAGTAATTTTATGTACTTATAATGTGGTAGATTGACCTCTCCTGAAGCCATTCAATCAGCGAGTTAGAGAGGCCATATACCTACCAGCCTGCTATTCAATTCTCCACAGTAAAGTTGCACGTGTGATGCCTCGATAAGCTAAAGAAGGTTCGAGTCCCTTCCATGTCTCTTTGTGATTCTGACAAATGAACGAAACACCAGAAAATACGTCTCCTTATTCCATCACTCACGTCTCATATTGGGTAATTACCCTTTGTTTGGATAGGCTTTCTGCGGTTGGAAATACAAAAGACGAAGCTGTAAGCTTGGTATCGTTCCTCTTATGAGATAGGATATTTTCATATCGTCTTATTTCAACACAAATTAATTTCTTCAAAATAATAATGTTATAGTACGGGACATGTTTAATACATGATGCCACTGTTGCCTTTTCAAACATCATTTGAATCTGAGGAATTTACATCGCAACCTAGATGTTAGCGGCTCTGTTATATATTTCTTATGTAACGTTTTGTACTCACCATGTAGCAGTTTTATCTCTTTTTATGTCTTATCTGTGTCGAGGGTCTTTGCGACGATGAAATTGAGTGGAATAAAGCGGTGAAGATGGTTTAAAAGGATTTATTATCTGTATAACGATATAAATGGCATCATTATGAATTGATGTTTAGTCGAGGGAGCAAGAAGGTCTTCCTCGTCTCAGAAAATACAAGTGTTTAGCATATAACAATGTTATCGTAATATATTGCCTAAATATAGTATTTTTATACACTTACGTTGATTAGAATGGTTAATATACTGAACCGCAAAAGAAACGTCACCATGCATATATATGTGAAACCTTATTTGTCCAAACACTGTAAACATACTTTGAGACTTATTAAAAAGATGAAACTTGGCAAAACTGATCATCAAGGTTGAAATTAAGGGACAAATGTTTGTAAAGTGAAACACAACACTAGTCTCTGAGAAAGTGTCATCACAAGTCATGATCAGTATCTCGTGTGTCCGCCATGTGCATTGATGACTGCCATGCAACGTCGATACATGGAATGGATGCGGCGGTTGATGATGGCCATAGCCACTTGAGCTCACACTCTAAGGGACCCCTGACGCAGTTCAGCTGCAGTTGTCGGCCTTGGTCGGACGTCATTCAGCCGTCTTTGAATCTCGTCCCACAGGTACTCAATGGGATTTAAATTGGGACGGAGGGCAGGCCAATGCTGCTGGAGGATGTCTCTCGTTGCTCTCGCAGTGTGGGTACGGGCGTTATCATGCTGAATCTCGTGTTTGCGGCGACGTGCCAAATGAGGTATGGCGTGTGGTCTCAATGTACCGAGCTGCTGTGACACCATTGCCTCTCCCTGGACCGATGTCCTGGAAGACCACAGGGCCGACCGTCTGTGCAAGACCAATTCCACCCCACACCATAATGCTCGGAGTGTGCAGGTGTCTGCTCGTCAATCGTCGACGCACGGTGTCCGCGCTAATGTGTCGCTGGTGTCCCCATGGTCTGTCAAGCAGTTTCCGCAGCAGTAACAAAGCGATCTTGAAGATGCTGTCGCACAATCTGACGATCCTTGGTCTTCCACAACGTGGTCGGTCATCTGTAGTGTTGGTGGTCTGGTACCGTTGCTGGAGCCTGTATATTGTCCTTACGTGGACTTGAAATGCACTGGCTACTTTCCGGGCGGTTTGTCCAGCTTGCAATCGTCCAAAGGCTTGGTGTCGTTTATTTCTTGTCAATCTTTGCATGTGGTAGCAATTCAATAACGAATGAATATTATCCGATCTGGGTTGATTTTTATAGGGCGAGAAATGGGGGAACGCATGTGCATTTCAATTTCCATGATGCGTTTGGGCGATCGGTTTTATTGTCATCTGCTTTGTTTTTTTATCATCAAATTTCATTTTTCCGGACAAGGTAATGTTAAATTTTAGAAACTTTGACAAAATTCCCAGATATTTAAATGACAATTTTTCATGCAATGTTACTTGGGGTGACGTTTCATTTGCGGTTCAGTATATTATATTCGAATGCTGTTACCTCACATTCGTTGAATGTAACAATGAATGCTTTTGGCGGCACAACATTAGAAAGTAATATTTTTATTTTATTTTTATTTTATTTTATATTATATATATATAGAAATGAAACTTAAACATACCTTTCACTCACAATCTTACGTAGGGGATGATGCTTTAACTTAGTATTTGAATTAGTAATGAGAGTGATAGATGAAACGTACGTAAAATGAATTAGAGATAACTCGTGGAAAATAACTTTAAATATATCCGGCGACGTCTGTTGGCAGCAAGTGAGTGAGTGAGTGAGTTAGATTTAACGCCGCTTTTAACAATATTCCAGTTATATCAAGGCGTGTCAGCTTAATGTGGGAGGAAAGCCCGAAGTGATGCAGGTCTCAGACGTTTACCACTTCGGTGAAACCCACGAGCACGGGTTTGGTTAATTTATTGCGAATTTGTGAAATAATTCACATTTAGGATTATGTAATGAAAACTTCAAAATGCTCCAAAATCAGTGTATAATCGGCTTAGTAACTATCGTTAGCCGGTCAGTAAAATGATGTCACATGAAAAATGTCGCATATTAGTCATATATTCCTGGACTTTTCCGAATTGAGGAACGGAGCACGGGCCTCTTTCTAGCTATTCGACTTTGACAAATTCTGCCCATTCGTGAGTTCACTGACATGGGGCCTGTTACTTATTGCTGCAGCAACTTATTTGATTCATTGAATTCCCTTTTGTGATTGTAAAACTCAAAGTTCGTGCTTCAATATTATTTTAAATACTCATTGATCTTGTGCGTTAATTGACTGTTTTAACAATTTAGATCTGTACGTACCGATTTCTTGGTTAATCTTTGCGTTTCAATTTGGAAATCATCTCGTTACTTGCTGCCAAGGGGGGCACGGCTACCCAGTCGTCTAAGGCGCCGCGATTCGCTGTGCAGAGCTACGTCCCTTGGGCACGTCAGAAACCTATGATTGTGGGTTCAAATCCCGGTTCGCCCCCGATTATGTTTCTAGGTTTGTCAGCACCATACCCGTGCTCGTGGGTTTCACCGAAGAGGTAAATGTCTGAGACTTCCTCCCACATTAAACTGACACGCCGTGATATAACTGGAATAATGTTAAAAGCAGCGTTTAACCCAACTCACTCACTCACTCACTCACTCATCCCAAGTAGGGGAATCTGGTCAAGTTGCTGGTGGTCTATACTCTTGTTTTAATTGAAACTACTAGCAGTTAACATATTGAATACTGAAGTGTTTTAATGTGATCTGGTTTCATACATTAACTGTTATATTTACCTAATAATAAATAACAATAACGGATATTTGTGATGTGCTATAATTCATACGCTGGAGCATGCACGAAGCGCTACAATGTGACAATGTTTAAGAATGATATACAAAAGAAGAATGGATAGTTGATGACCATGGATTGATGAGAAATATGGAGACTGATGAAACTAATCTGACAGAAGGTCCTTATAAGAAGCATGTCAAAAAGTGTTTACCCCTTATTGTGACAAGGCCGATTTCCATTTAAAGATTTTTCGTCCGAGACATTCATTTTTACTGCCGATTAATAACAATAAAGTTGAACTCGTTATTTCAGTTACATTTCGCTTGATGTCCTTAAGCATATTTCCTGTGAACTTCATCTAAACAGGGACAGTGCAAATCCATATCCAACATGATAAGATATTTGAACTAAAGAGAAATTTTAAGTGTCGTTTATTTTAAATGACAGCATCCTATTCTAACATTTCCAATGCCAATGTATTGAGTCTGTTTCTGGTCCCATTGAAGAGCGACAGCCAAATGATACCATTGATTTGGAAGGTCGGTTGCCTCTCCTTCAGGAACCATTGGGACTGCACAAAGGTAGAACAAGACCATTTTGTGTGTCGTTGAAAAACTCCAGATACTTTTGCTGATGGATTTGTCTACAAACAGTAAAAGCCGACGGAATCGATTGGAGAATATGGTTCGTCTTATTACTTTGAAACGCTTGGCCAAACCAGACACAATCAGAAGAAGGGTGCATGTTCCTTAGTTTGATATAATTTGCAATCAACGGAATTGATGCGTTAAACGTTAATATCCTATCCAGACAAAAAAAATACAAGAACCACTAACAGTCTCATATTCCTGGACGTCACCGTCTTATCACAGTTGTTCAATTATAGAACCTGTTGCTGGAGGTGGTCAGTTCAGCCAAGACCCATCATATTGCCACCAAATGGTTGGTCATGTAATCACAGATGACTTCTCTATTTTTGCAACAACAACATTGGTCAGTTATCTAAATGGGAACCAAAATATAGTGAGCAGCCTCCTACCAATTGAGATAACAACCTTTAAGTAATCATGGATGCTGGCAAAGATCTGACAGCATATACATACATATATCTTTCAATGTTATAAATAACTGTGAAATAAAATTGTATAATACAACCATTCCCAAAGATAACATGTACCTCGGCCCTGTGGCCTTCAGGGCAAATCTTTTATTGAACTAAGTACCCTCAGTAATACTGATACAGTCACTGCTCCCTCGTCTTGACAGAAATTCATTAGTTTCGGATACAACCAGATGTTCCATATTCTCGGGAACAACCAAACATTCTTTGTTCTCTGGATCCCCTGGAACTTTGACGTCTCTCCTCAGGATGGGGATCAGGAATAAGACCATGGAGCCAAGTAGAGACACTGAGCCTGGAAGTACGTAGATATACTATAGTTTACTATATGAGGTAAGTCGCATAAAAAATGAATAGGATGAACCATTTTTGTACGATGTAAGAAAAAGAGCAAGCCTATGTTAAAGACATCAATTATTACAGAAACAATGAAACAAATTATACAAACACCTATGCCTAAGTGTGCTCCTCTGAACAATGGAAACTACCATTCACAAAAAAACACTTTAAATATACTTCAGTAGTTTGGGAAGAAACAACTTCGTTAATAATGGGATTTATGATGATAAATGCGATAAAACCGGTTCCATAGTCATAAGAAATCACTTCTAAAAGACAAGTCTGTTGTACGATTACGACTACATCTCATAAGTATGGATTTATGAATCACTATCCATCAGTGTTGATGCCAGGTACTAAGTAAGTGCAGTTTGTAAATAATTATTGTGAAGCAAATATTAGAAATGGTTTGATGAGTATTCCTAATTTTTACTTCGAAAAATATTGAGTACTGTGTAAGTAACTGATGGTTCAAGATAAATCCACGAAAACGTTACTGGAAACTACTTACAATGTACTCACCTTTCATGAAAAAGTGACATGGCTTTCGTTTTTGTTTTGAGCAGTCTTGTAAGTCTTTCAACCAAAACAAGTCTGGTTTAGATATATTTATCTGTGTGGAAAGATATATGGAATTCTGTATGTCGAACATTTTACCATTCTCGATAGTTGGAAGCCTTAAATTATCCATATATGTATAGCACCCGTTTGTTGGAATGCAAAAAAGGGATGAACGGAAATGCGTACCACCAATGTGGAATCCCGCCGAGTAGGATGATGTGATGTCGTACAGTGCACCTAGAACCAGAAACAAATGACAAAGCAGTTGTATATGTGCATGTAGGTGCAGTAATAAAAGAGTCCGAAATGTATCAATAATGGTATCATATATTAATTTGTTAAAAAAAAATTAAATTACGTTCGCAACAGGATTTTCATATTAAGACAGAGAGTGAGCGAATGTTGTTTAATGTCGCTGTCAGCAATGCATCGGTACATGCATGGAGGTCTACAAATAATGGAGAATACACAATCCAAACCATTGATTGATTCATTGGAGTAAAGTTCCACGCCATAGGGCACGATGACACTCTGTACAACAAAGTCTGAGAGCCTTACCACCTGATCTATTTCATTCGCCAATTACGGCAAGGCAACATGTACAGGATTTTCATATTTAGACAGAGAGTAAGTGAAAGTTTTTTAACGTCACTGTCAGTAAAGTTTAATGTATCGTTGCGCTAATGAAGGTAAATGGAGACACATATGTGTGTATGTGTATGTACTATTCAAGCATATCAAGTAGTACGTACGTTAGTAAATGAACCTACCTGCGATGGTTGGACCAATGAGATAACTCATACCACCAACAAACAAGGTAACTCCAAACACTGTTGCCAGACGTTCCACTCCGAACAGCTCCACATAAATGGGCGTCAATAATATATAACCAAATCCATAATATAAGGCATACAGAACTTGGTATAGAACAAGTTGAGCAAATCCATGTGCGAACAGTGGCATGAACATCACAAGCAAAGCTTTGAGGCCTTGGCAAGATATGTACACCATCAGCAAATCAATGTTCTTGTCATTACACATCACCCCACCCAGAATCCGCGCCACTGTTAGAGTCAGGCCATAGGCGGTGAACAGTGATGGAACTTTGGTCGGTGGTACTCCAACCGAACGCACGTAAGAAGGCAGATGAACAATCTGAATGGAATAGCCCATCATTTCCATGAAATAGTTGAGAAGGATGATCAGTAGGATCTTGTCTTTCAGAACCGTAAACATACTGACACTTGTTTTACAAATTACAACAGAAGCACTGTCGTGACTGCATCTTTTGCAATGTAAACATTTAGCCTTACCAGATAGATCTCTTGGCTCTGAATCTATATCCGTTATTTCTTCTCTCTGGTTATTATTCCTTTGGCAACAGAACATTATATCCTTACTCTGTTTTGTCCTTTCATGTGGAAATATCAGAGATCCTGTCACAACCATCTGGGCCGTGATGCATCCAAGTGTCGACATCGCAGTCCGCCACCCAAACTGGTCAATCAGCCAGCCAATCAAATGTGGACCTGACAGAATACCAACGCCGACAGAGGACAAAGCGATTCCATTGGCTAAAACCCTCTTCTCCTGGAAGTAATGGCCGACAGCTATTACGGACGGTGTGTAAATGATGCCAAATCCTATCCCTGAATAGGATAGAAAGGTAACATCAAGCATTACACTGAATATCATACGCATATATATTTCTAGTTGTGTTAACTATTTCAGTGTGCTTGAAAAGCATTATTAACACTCAATAGTAGTTTGCAACATGACATATAGAAGTATGATGGAGGGGGATTGGATGGACAGACAGAATGGCTTTCCTCACCAGAGAGTATCCCGTAGCACCCAAGCAGTTGTGGAAGAGTGTTGGTCATGCTGGTTGCAACAAAGCCCACCGAAAGTATAGTTCCTCCAACCATTATAGATGTACGTATGCTGAACATGTTACAGATGACACTCGCTACAGGACCTGCAGCACAACATGTTGTATAGTTCCTCCATCAACAACAAAAGTGCACATATTCAGAACATGTAACCTCAGCTTCATCAGCATTCATTGGAGTTCCTGAGCAACAGAGTCCTATCATAAATACCTGAATTATATAAAGCAAGAGACGTGCGTGGCATTTTGTGCTTCTTGAATTATAATTGTTAAAGTTATGAAGAGATGATATACAGAGGAATAGAAAACTTCAACAACAACCAGTTCTGATTCTCATATAGCATTGAGCATAAAAGGCAGAATAGCATTGAAAATTCTATGAAAGGATCATAATTTTGAAAATCTGTGATGACACTAAGTCTTTACAATAAGGGAAGGATGTCCTGTCCTAGATGTAGCACCCGCCACACATTTCATGTATATATACTCTTCATAAAGAGAATCTTGACATAGATGTATAACCACTTTTTGCCAAATATCTAAAATAATTACATGAAATGAGAACCAAATATGTCAAACAGAAAGATGATGTGGCTATAATTCGCGAAAACACATGCAAAGCACATAAACGTAGCGTTTGGGGATTAATTTTACAGCTTCATCGAAACGCAACCACCTGTAAAAAACGTGCAGCACAGGATCCTGCATTTAGGCATGCAGGCCCCCCTGCTGAATGGGTATAAAAATCCACATTAACGGCTGTTCATACAGTCCTTATAACGGCAGTAGAGGCGATGACAGAATGCCAAGACTGAATGCAGCTCAACGGAACAACGCCACTGGGAGATTACACGCTGGAGCAACTCAGCAAGAAGTGGCCAGGCATTTTGGCGTATCCAGACATACAATCTCCGCACTGTGGACCAACAGAGTTGACGACAGACCAAGGTCAGGAAGACCAAGGGTGACAACCCAAGCACAAGATCAATACATCCGGCCGCGACACCTCCGAGACCGCACTACCACAGCCACGTCTACAACCACACCTGGGGTACGCAGGATATCAGATCAAACGGTACGCAACAGACTGAGGGAGGACTTTTTGTACGAAGACCTGTTCGACGTCATGTATTGACCCTACGTCATCTGGCGGACCGTCTGCTTTGGTGCCAACAGAGGGTTAGATGGGCACGTGCAAGGTGGAGAAATGTACTGTTTACTGACGAGTCCCGTTTCCTACTCACAAGCGCGCACGTGTCTACAGACGTCGGGGTGAACATTACGCCCCCAACTGTATGCAGCAGGTTGTCCCATTTGGCGACGGGAGTGTCATGGTATGGGCCGGAATTCATCACGGTGGTAAGACGCCTCTCGTGCATGTGGCAGGTGCATTGACAGGTGTGCGTTACAGAGACTTGATCCTACAGCCTTACGTTCTTCCTCACGTCAACGTTCATCGCGGACAGTTCCAGCAGGACAACGCTCGACCGCATATTGCACGTGTTTGTCAGGACTTCTTACAGCACAACAACATCCAGACATTACCTTGGCCAGCCCGGTCACCAGATTTGTCCCCGATTGAGCATCTGTGGGACGAGTTGGATCGACGCGTTCGCAGAAGGAATCCACCGCCTCAAACATTTCCGGCGCTTATTGACAACTTGATTGCATCTATGGGTCGTCGGTGTAAAGCGGTGATTGATGCACGTGGTGGGCACAACCGATACTGACATTTTCTGTACCCCTGTGACATTAACTGTATCGTGTACGTGTGTCTGTCTAGGTGACACGATTCATGTTTTGAACATTGTGTACATTGATCTTCAAACAGTGTTTCAATTATGGTTTCTGTGTCCTATTTTGAAACAATCGCATTATATTACATTTTGAAAGTCAGTGTCAAGTTTCTTTTTTTGAAGAGTATATAAGTATAAAATATCAACGACAAGTCTCGATTATCGGCGAAAACCAATTCCATTGTGCCTAAACGGATGTAACAGATGAAAAGACAGTGTAGAATATAAAAGTCTTTACCTTAATTTTTGTTTCGGCTATTGATACGATCTCGTCAACAGTTAGCTATTTCAAGCAAGGTGACAAGCACACTATACATTGTGAATAGGAATATTATTGTCAGCAAATTAATGCAATATAATGCATTTACAAAATTCATGAAGACATGATTGAATGATTTAAATTTGAGTTGTTGAATAAAAGCGACAAAACCATTTCCATAAAAATAAGAAATCTATAACTAAAGCAGAGTCCATGACGTGTTTACGAAAATTAGAGTGTCACAAGTGGAGGAATCTGGTTCAGGCTAACCCTTGAATTTGAAATGATGTCACATTTGCCGCGACGAGATTGTGCAGAAAGCATATTTAAGGATTATGGCATATTGGCAAAATAGATTGACTTCATCTGTAGTGGAACAGCATAGGCACACAAACACACTACCACATTGTAACACAGTCTACTAGAAACATACAGGATTGGGCAAGCATTAACTTACAAGAACATTAAAGATTGAACCACGTGCATTGTAGTCACCTAGTATCGACTGTAGGCTCATGAAAAGGGAGCATAACACACTAATATACGCCGTTCTGCCGTCGTAGTTCTGGAGAAACTGGTCCTGGAACATCCCTGGGAAAAATATAAAAAAATGTACATCGTACTAACTTTGCTTGATAGTGAGAATTTCCTCCTGTCATGCTTTATAGTGTGGAGTGGATGGGTTACATGCATTTTATACAGTCATATTTGAATATATACGTGTAGGTAAAGGTACAGAAATTAGCCATAAATTGTGTTCAGTAGAACATTTTAAATTGCGTGATATACAGTTTATTGAACAAAGGTAGTCATATTCAACATATATATACAAGTCCAACCATATTATGACGGGCGACACATGGTACCCATGCGGGGAATCTAACCCGGGTGTGTTGCGTGGAGATCCATTACTACAGGGTTACCCAACAAGCCCTTCACCACATGAAGTTTACATACCTAGAGTGATTATCAGAGTCCCCATCACAGACAAGTTGAACACCGTCGCCGCAAGGATCACCCATGCCCACCCGCCGTCTGTGTTCCGTCGGGACCTCATCACTTGGAAAGCAAACAGTTCATAATAATAATTGCTTTTAAGATACCTTCTAATGACATATTCGCTCAGATTATATTTCTTCATTTGTCAGCACCATACCAGTGTTTGTGCGATTCACCAATTATGAAGAATGGAACTTAAGTTGGTATTACAGGTAATGCACATTAATAGAAAAGAACATGTCCGTTATCACCGAACTATGGAGTTGCACACATCATCTATGAAGGACCGTGAAGATGTAGTTTCATCAGATACGCGAATATACACTACAATAGGCGACACACTACGACTAATATATTACATTCAAGGTGAGAAAGGTCACACATATACAGATATACGTGTACACAGGAACTATTAATCAGCCATAACAATGACGGATGACATATAATTTACCCTCAGTCTTGCTGTGTTATATCTGCTGTGCACTTGTGAGCGTGTCCTCGATGTGTCAACCCTGACAGCTTGTGTCCTGTGTCCACATCAGCTCGCCTCAGCCAAGCTCATATTCATATCACCTGCTGAATATATGTATAAAGTTAAATACATAGAGGTTATCACGCGAGTGTGTTTTGGGATGGTAAACATCCTGCATTAGGAAGAAACATTGTATTTGGCGAGCCTCGGCGAGCTAAATACATCGTGTTTGTTCCTAATAAAGAAAATTTACCATCCCCAAACACACAAGCGTGATAACCTCTTTATCATATAATGTCATTATTTAATTCTGTGCTTGAAAATTGCTTTCCCTCTCTCACAAACATTACCGAAACATTGCGAGTTTTCCTGGAATGCGCGCATTAATATTTATTACGTCACAGGGTAAGTGATGTGTCAGTCGGACAGTGACAGTTGCCAATATAGTTCCAACTGAAATCTGTTTCTTATACAGTGGCGAAGCAACATATACGCAAAACAACAATTGTCTTTACTTACCTTTCGCGGCAATCCATCGGTCTGTCCGCTAGAGTAACTGCCCTTTGTCAAAGGGAAGCTACTCTAACCCTTGTCTAGGTGGAGAGGCCATATACTTACAGAGTCTGCTTTTCGATTCAACACAGTAAAAGTAATGTTATATTACGGGATATGTTTAATACATGATGCCACTGTTGCCTTTTCAACATCATTTGATTCTGAGAAATATACACCACAACATAAATATTAGCGGCTCGGCGATATTTCGTATGTAACGTATTGTACTCAACATATGGTCTTTTCTGTGTCGCGGGTCTTTGCCGACTATGAAATTAAGTCGACGGAATGAGGCGGTGAAGATGGTTTAAAAGGATTCATTATCTGTAAAAAGATATAAAGGGCATCAATATGAACTGATGTTTAGTCGAGGGAGCAATGAGGTCTACCCTCGGCAATGGCGCGACAAAAAAATCTTAGAAAATAAGTATGTAGCATTATAACAATGTTATCGTTATATATTGTCTAAATACAGCATTTTAATACAATTACGTTGACCAGAAAGGCTATTATAATATTTGAACGCTGAACTTGAACTTTATATATTTTGAATGTAACAATGAATGCTTTTGGCTGCACATCTTAGGTGGTAATATTTTTAGGATATTTTAGTAGTAATAAAATATATATACATGACACAAAAGGAACTTAAACATACCTTCACTCACAATCTTACTTATGGGATGGTGCTTTAACTTCGTGTTTGAATTAGTAATCTAATCCAACGCGATGCCTTTTGACCAAAAAGAATATTCACATTTTATTACATTTATGATTTGGTTTCTACGATCGCGTTACCTATTCCATTGACAAGCTTACCGTAAAGAAAGCAGATAGATAAGGGTACATACCTGTAGAAAGATATTAATGGCATCAATATGAATTGATGTTTAGTGGTGGGAGCAAGAAGATCTTCCCTCCGCTATGGCGTGACAAAACGTGGCATTTGAAAGTGCCAATGTCAGACTCCAGCTATTTGCGCGAGATACTGCTGGTAAGACAACCAGATGCAAGAGTGAGAGATGAAGTGTACGTAGTTTGAACTGATATTAACTCATGGAAAATAACTTAAACTATCTCCGGCAACATCTGTTAGCAGCTTGTTTCGAGGTGATTTCCAAATTGAAAAGCAAAGAATAACACAGAAATCGGTGCGTACGAATCTAAATTGTGAAAATAGTGAATTATAACACAGGATCATTGAGTATTTAAAATAATATTGAAGCAAACAGTTTTAGTTTTACAATCACAAAAGGGAATTCAATGAATCAAATAAGGGCAGCAGCAATAAGTAACAGGACCCATTTTCAGTCTAAGTCAAAGTCATTGCCATGGAAAATATTTCTCGAAAAGATTTTTTTTTTCAATCCCACACTATCAAAAGGCACCAGTTCACCACTAGACCTATCTATGTGCCAAGTTTGGTAAAAACATCTATCATAGTTTTTGTGTTCTGCTCCGGAAACGAAATGTGACGGACGGACGGACGGAGGGAAAGACGAACGGACGGACGGCACCCATTTCTATATCCCCCTTCCTCTTCGTGGCGGGGGATAATAATATTGAAGCACACGCTTTTAGTTTTACAATCACAAAAGGCAATTAAATGAATCAAATATTCATTCAATTTATTTGATGATAAAACATACACGATTGTGAACATAAATATCAATCAAATAAGATAAAGATAATAAATTAATACTATATTTTGCATATTTAGGCATGTATTTGATATTGTCGAATGTTTGTCACGATAGCTGGTTACTGCGTTATGGTTACTGGAATTTGTCAACATCTATTGATATCAGCAATAATGAACACACGTCAACTCTCAGTGGCAACAGCTACAGTCGATGCCAATCTCCATCGAGACGATACATAGAATCTGTTTACTTCCACTATAAGTGAGTTACAAAAGAGTATACTTTAAATAAAGGATACATGACAAAAGGACAAGAGTGATTGCAAGGCTTGACTGAAAGGCTCCTTTGGAATAGCGAATTAAGTCAGAGCTGGTGATGGCACGTGTCAGTCGTGTATGTATTGCATTCCTAAAGACGAGGTCCGCAATCATTGTCTGACAGAGTGAGTGAGTGAGTGAGTGAGTGAGTATGGTTTTACGCCGCTTTTAGCAATATTCCAGCAATATCACGGCGGCGGACACCAGCAATGGGCTTCACACATTGTATCCATGTCGGGAATCGAACCCGGGTCTTCGGCGTGACGAGCGAACGCTTTAACCACTAGGCTACCCAACCGCCCCCAAAAGGTAGTGAGAATGCACATGAGATATATAACCGGCTCTTTGCAATTCAATATCTATGACATTCACAGGAACGTGATAAAGCTAGATACACGCAAATTGTTGTGGACGATAATGTTCGTTCTCTGTTTTGGTTTGTGTTTTGTTGGTTTGTTGTTTAACGCCGCACTCAGCAATATTTCAGCTATATGACGGCGGTCTGTAAAATAATCGAGTCTGGAACAGACAATCCAGTGATTGATATCATGAACATCGATCCAAGCAATTGGGATGACATGCACCAACCAAGTCAGCGAGCCTGACAACCCGATCCCGTTAGTCGCCTCAATTTTACTGCCGACTAATAACAATAAAGTTAAGTTCATCTTCTGTTATTTCAGTTACATTTCGCTTGATGTCCTTAAGCATATTTCCTGTGAACTTCATCTAAACTGGGCCAGTGCAAATCCATATCCAACATGATGAGATATTTCAACTAAAGAGAAATTTAAGTGTCGTTTATTTTAAATGACAACATCCTATTCTAACATTTCCAATGCCAATGTATTGAGTCTGTTTCTGGTCCCATTGAAGAGCGACAGCCAAATGATACCATTGATTTGGAAGGTCGGTTGCCTCTCCTTCAGGAACCATTGGGACTGCACAAAGGTAGAACAAGACCATTTTCTGTGTCGTTGAAAAACTCCAGACACTTTTGCTGATGGATATGTCTACAAACAGTAAAAGCTGACGGAATCGATTGGAGAATATGGTCGGTCTTATTACTTTGAAACGCTTGGCCAAACCAGACACAATCAGAAGAAGGTTGCATGTTCCTTAATTTGTAATAATTTGCAATCAACGTTAATATCCAACCCATACAAAACTCAGGGATGCACCAACAGTCCAATTTTCCTAGACGAACATCATTGTATAAAAAGTTGTTCAATTATAGAACCTGTTGCTGAAGGGGGGCAGTTTAGCCAAGACTCATCATACTTCCACCAACAAATTGTTGGTCATGTAATCAGAGATGACGTCTCTATTTTGACCTTTGTCAGTTCTTTAAATAGGTACCAAAACATAGTGAGCAGCCTCCTGCCAATTGGGATCACAACCTTTAAAAAATCATGGATGCTGGCAAAGATCTGACGGCATATACATGCATATATCTTTCAATGTTATAAATAACTGTGATATAAAAGTGTATAATACAACCTTTCCCAAAGATAACATGTACCTCGGCCCTGTGGCCTTCAGTGCAAATTTTGTGTTGTACTAAGTACCCTAAGTAATATCGATACAGTCACTGCTCCCTCTTCTTGACAGAGATTCATTATTTTCCGATACAACCAGATGTTCCATATTCTCGGGAACAACCAAACATTCTTTGTTCTCTGGATCCCCTGGAACTTTGACGTCTCTCCTCAGGATGGGGATCAGGAATAAGACCATGGAGCCAAGTAGAGACACTGAGCCTGGAAGTACGAAGATATACTATAGTTTACTATATGACGTAAGTCGCATAAAAAATGAATAGGATGAACCATTTTTGTACGATGTAAGAAAAAGAGCAAGCCTATGTTAAAGACATCAATTATTACAGAAACAATGAAACAAATTATACAAACACCTATGCCTAAGTGTGCTCCTCTGAACAATGGAAACTACCATTCACAAAAAAACACTTTAAATATACTTCAGTAGTTTGGGAAGAAACAACTTCGTTAATAATGGGATTTATGATGATAAATGCGATAAAACCGGTTCCATAGTCATAAGAAATCACTTCTAAAAGACAAGTCTGTTGTACGATTACGACTACATCTCATAAGTATGGATTTATGAATCACTATCCATCAGTGTTGATGCCAGGTACTAAGTAAGTGCAGTTTGTAAATAATTATTGTGAAGCAAATATTAGAAATGGTTTGATGAGAATTCCTAATTTTTACTTCGAAAAATATTGAGTACTGTGTAAGTAACTGATGGTTCAAGATATATCCACGAAAACGTTACTGGAAACTACTTACAATGTACTCACCTTTCATGAAAAAGTGACATGGCTTTCGTTTTTGTTTTGAGCGGTCTTGTAAGTCTTTCAACCAAAACAAGTCTGGTTTAGATATATTTATCTGTGTGGAAAGATATATGGAATTCTGTATGTCGAACATTTTACCATTCTCGATAGTTGGAAGCCTTAAATTATCCATATATGTATTGCACCCGTTTGTTGGAATGCAAAAAAGGGATGAACGGAAATGCGTACCACCAATGTGGAATCCCGCCGAGTAGGATGATGTGATGTCGTACAGTGCACCTAGAACCAGAAACAAATGACAAAGCAGTTGTATATGTGCATGTAGGTGCAGTAATAAAAGAGTCCGAAATATAGCAATAATGGTATCATATATTAATTTGTTTGAATTGTTTTTAAATTACGTTCGTAACAGGATTTTCATATTAAGACAGAGAGTGAGCGAATGTTGTTTAATGTCGCTGTCAGCAATGCATCAGTACATGCATGGCGGTCTTCAAATAATGGAGAATACACAATCCAAACCAGTGATTGATTCATTGGAGTAAAGTTCCACGCCATAGGGCACGATGACACTCTGTATCAACAAAGTATGAGAGCCTTACCACCTGATCTATTTCATTCGCCAATTACGGCAAGGCAACATGTACAGGATTTTCATATTTAGACAGAGAGTAAGTGAAAGTTGTTTAACGTCACTGTCAGTAAAGTTTCATGTATCGTTGCACTAATGAAGGTAAATGGAGACACATATGTGTGTATGTGTATGTACTATTCAAGCATATCAAGTAGTACGTGCGTTAGTAAATGAACCTACCTGCGATGGTTGGACCAATGAGATAACCCATACCACCAACACTCAAGGTAACTCCAAACACTGTTGCCAGACGTTCCACTCCGAACAGCTCCACATAAATGGGCGTCAATAATATATAACCAAATCCATAATATAAGCCATACAGAACTTGGTATAGAACAAGTTGAGCAAATCCATGTGCGAACAGTGGCATGAACATCACAAGCAAAGCTTTGAGGCCTTGGCAAGATATGTACACCATCAGCAAATCAATGTTCTTGTCGTTACACATCACCCCACCCAGAATCCGCGCCACTGTGAGAGTGAGGCCATAGGCGGTGAGCAGAGATGGAACTTTGGTCTGTGGTACTCCAACCGAACGCACGTAAGAAGGCAGATGAACAATCTGAATGGAATAGCCCATCATTTCCATGAAATAGTTGAGAAGGATGATCAGTAGGATCTTGTCTTTCAGAACCGTAAACATACTGACACTTGTTTTACAAATTACAACTGAAGCACTGTCGTGACTGCATCGTTTGCAATGTAAACATTTAGCCTTACCAGATAGTTCTCTTGTCTCTGAATCTATATCCGTTATTTCTTCTCTCTGGTTATTATTCCTTTGGCAATAGAACACAGTATCCTTACTCTGTTTTGTCCTTTCAAGTGGAAATATCAGAGACCCTGTCACAACCATCTGGGCCGTGATGCATCCAAGTGTCAACATCGCAGTCCGCCACCCGAACTGGTCAATCAGCCAGCCAATCAAATGTGCACCTGACAGCATACCAACGCCAACAGATGAAAAAGCGATTCCATTAGCTATAACCCTTTTCTCCTGGAAGTAATGGCCAACAGCTATTGCGGACGGTGTGTAAATGATGCCAAATCCTATCCCTGAATAGGATAGAAAGGTAACATCAATCATTACACTGAATATCATACGCTTATATATTTCTAGTTGTGTTAACTATTTCAGTATGCTTGAAAAGCATTATTAACACACAATAGTAGTTTGCAACATGACATATAGAAGTATGATGGAGGGGGATTGGATGGCCAGACAGAATGGCTTTCCTCACCAGAGAGTATCCCGTAGCACCCAAGCAGTTGTGGAAGAGTGTTGGTCATGCTGGTTGCAACAAAGCCCACCGAAAGTATAGTTCCTCCAACCATTATAGATGTACGTATGCTGAACATGTTACAGATGACACTCGCTACAGGACCTGAAGCACAACAAATGGTATAGTTCCTACATCAACAACAATAGTGCATATATTCAGAACATGTAACCTCAGCCTCATCAGCATTCATTTGTACTTCTTGAATTAAATGTATTTACAACATGAAGTCAGGATCACAGAGGAATAGAAAACGTCTACGAGTAGCCTAGATTCTCCGCCGAAACATATTACATTGAGTGTAAAGGGCAGAGTTACGGTGAAAATAATATGAAGGGATTCCTGAAAATCTGCGATGACACCAAGTGTTTACGATAAGGGAATGATGCTCTGCCCTACCGGTAGCACTCGCAACTCACACAGTTCATATATAATATATATACTAGTATATTTACGCCAGAGAATACCAACTCTTGATTATCGTCGCAACCAATTCCATTAGGCGTAAACGGATGTAACAAATGAAACAAGAAATAGAATATAAAAGTCTTTACTTAAATCTTTTCGGCCATTGATACGATCTCGTCAGTAGTCAGCTATTTCACGCAAGGTGACAAGCACACCAACATTGTGAATAAGAATGATATTGTCAGTAACTTAATGCAATGTAATGCAATTACAAAATTTTATGATTTGGATTGAATGAATGAAATTTGACTTGTTAATAAAAATGACAAAACCATTTCCATAAGCATAAGAATCTATGAGTAAAGCAAAGACCATTGAAAGATTCCGATGAGCATGTGAATCACTATGAAATTAGGTGTTTGCTGAAATGCGACTCTATCACAGATGGAGAAATCTAGTTGAGGAATATCCATGAATTGGAAAGGATGTCACATGTTGACGCGACGAGATTGCGAAGCAAGACATCATTGATGATCGTGGCATACTGGACCAAAATAGACCCAGAAATCCAACATTGCAACATGATCTACGCACACACACTACCACACTGTAACACAGTCTGCTAGAACTATACAGGATTGGGCAAGCATGATCTTACAAGTGAGTGAGCAATGGGCTTCACACACTGTACCCATGTCGGGAATCGAACCCGGTACTTCGGCGTGACGAGCGAAGGCTTAAACTACTAGGCTACCCGACCATCCCTGATTGTACAAGAACATGAAAGGTTGAACCATATACATTGTAGTCACCTAGTATTGACTGTAGGCTCATGAAAAGGGAGCACAACACACTAATATACGCCGTGCTGACACCGTAGTTCTGGAGAAACTGGTCCTGGAACATCCCTGGGAACAATAGAAAATATACATCGTACTAACTGTGCTTCATAGTGAGGAGTGGATGGGTTGCATGCATTTGATACAGTCATATTTGAATATAAAGGTAAAGACACATACATTAGCACATTAGCTATAAATGCTGTTCAATAGCAACAAAATTTGCATCTTAATTTGTGTTACAAACAATTTATTTAACAAAGGTAGTCATATTCAACACTTGAGTTTTGTTAACCAGTCCAACCATATCATGACGTGCGGAACACACTTTCTGTACATGTACCCATGCTGGGATTCGAACCAAGAGTGAGTGAGTGAGTTAAGATTTAACGTCACATCGGCAGTATTTCAGCCATATCGTGACGAGAATTACATTAATAATACATATATTTATACAATATAAAAAGCTGTCAACGATGGACTGTACAATAACTAGAATATCACAGAGTCTATTTAAAACTAGTTGAGAATATATAAAAGTCATAATTATTAGCGAACAACACAATATAAAAATGGGCTAGAGATCGTCAGTGACTAAAGGAAGATCACCATACTAGGGACCATGGGGGCTTACAGTGCCTTTGCCTCCTGTATGGACCCCGGCAGGATTTATATCATCCCTTCAGTCAATGGCGACAGTGTACCAATTTAGCCAAAGATTAAAATGACGAATATTATACGTTTAAAAGCCTGGCATGCAGAAAAATACTTCGAATGATATGGGACTTACATACCCTCTTAGGGGGACAATAATTTTAGGCTACTTCAACCCCCTTCGAGGGTACAGCCACTAACAATCTAAGTTATTAATTAGCACTACCAATTTTTAAAACAACATAGCAACTACATCAAAGTTTATGTATAAGTTCTATTTCGTTTAAAAAACATAGTATTAAATGAGAGTTAACTTTACTAAAAAAGGTCCTTCACTGTTTTTACATTAAAATATTTATTCCTTGTGATGGTCGAGCCAAGAGAGCCAATTCTAAAAAATACTGTTAAATGCTGTTCAATAGAAAATATTTTGCATTTTAATTTGCGTGAGAAACATGTGGTACCCTTAAATCGAGTCTACTCCGTGGAGAGCCAACTGCTGGGTTACCCAATAAACCCTTCACTACAAGAAGTTTACATACCTAAAGTGATTATCAGAGTCCCCATCACAGATAAGTTGAACACTGTCGCCACAAGGATCACCCATGCCCACCCGCCGTCTATGTTCCGTTGTGGCCTCATCACTTGGAAAGGAAACAGTTCAGAAAAATAATTGCTTTTAAGATACCTTCTAATGACATATTCGCTCTGACTATTGTCTTAAGTTTGTCAACACCATACCAGTGCTCGTGTGATTCTCCAATCTGAGAAACATGTTCGACCTGCTTGACGTTGGGCTTACTCTCAACGTTAAGCTGTTACGACGTGATATAAAAGGCTGTTCAAAGAGGCATAAAACCCAACTCATGCACTTGCTTGCAATTGGGAGTCATCAAGGTCACATCATGCTGGTATGTAGCTGGAGGCTAGATCAAAAATATTAATCTCTATTTGAAACGTGGTCCTTGCAAAAACTACCTAGCAATTATCAAATGAGATTGCAATTGGGCACCCCTTTACAATGATGCATGAGCGTTGACACCAATGTAGAGCAGAAAATGGTCAATATGTGAAATACTTAAGCGGGGGAAAACAATGAGTATTAGTGAATGGCCATTGGACACCAAAGTGCAACAGTGAATGGCCACTTGGCACCCATTTACAATGGTGCATAGCGGTGGACACCAATGTAGATTAGTAAGTGAATGCACGACAATGAACAATACGTGACTGGGGACACCAATGTGCAATAGTGTATCGTTAACTACCAAAGTGCAACAATACGTGAACGGGGTATGGCAATGTTAAACAATGACTGATCTTTGGGCACCCATGTACAACAATGGTTGATCGTTGGATATCAATGTAGAATAATGCATGAGTGATTGACGGCAATAATCATTGAGAACCTGTGTACAATAATACATGCTACACTGTAGAATTGCATCAATGTACAACAGTACCAGGGCGGTGGACATCAATGTACAACAGTAAATGGTCATTGGCCGCCAATGTACAACAGTAAATGGTCATTTGCCGCCAATGTACAACAGTGAAGGGTCATTGATCACTAATAGTGAATACTAACCGGACACCAATGTACATCAATACATGAGCGGTGATATCCCAATATAGAACAATAGATGTCAGTGTACAGTTTACAACGGTAAAGGCTAATTGGTCATCAATATACAGCAACACTTGAATGCACAACAGTGAGTGTTCATTAAACACCAATGAACAACAATACATAAGCAATAGGCAACAATCTGGAACGTTGAATGGTCACTGAACACCGATGTATAACACTGAACGGTCATTGGACGCCAGTGTACAACGATGCATGAGCAATAGGCAACAATCTGCAACGTTAAATGGTCAATGGACACTAATGTAAAACAGTGAACGGTCATTGGACGCCAGTGTACAACGATGCATGAGCAATAGGCAACAATCTGCAACGTTAAATGGTCAATGGACACCGATGTATAACAGTGAACGGTCATTGGACGCCAGTGTACAACGATGCATGAGCAATAGGCAACAATCTGCAACGTTAAATGGTCACTGGACACCGATGTATAACAGTGAACAAGCATTGGACGCCAGTGTACAACGATGCATGATCAATAGGCAACAATCTGCAACGTTAAATGGTCACTGGACACAAATATACAACAGTGAACGGTCATTGGACGCCAGTGTACAACGATGCATGAGCAATAGGCAACAATCTGCAACGTTAAATGGTCACTGGACACCGATGTATAACAGTGAACAAGCATTGGACGCCAGTGTACAACGATGCATGATCAATAGGCAACAATCTGCAACGTTAAATGGTCACTGGACACAAATATACAACAGTGAAAGGTCATTGGACGCCAGTGTACAACGATGCATGATCAATAGGCAACAATCTGCAACGTTAAATGGTCACTGGACACAAATATACAACAGTGAAAGGTCATTGGACGCCAGTGTAAAACAATGAAATAGTGATGTACACGGACGTAATACAAATAATGGTCATAGGGCACAATTGTATGACAATCCATGAGCGGTGGACATCAATGTAGAAGGTTAATGGTCGTTGGGCACTACTGTACACTAATGGCCACCGGTCAGTAAATGGCCAGCTGACACCATTGAACAACAAGGTATGTTCAGTGGATACCAACGTGAAAAACTCATCCCAGCATCCGGTCATAATGTACAGCACAGTATAGTGAGTGAGTGAGTTGGGTTTAACGCCGCTTTTAACAGTATTCCAGTTATATCGCGGCGTGTCAGCTCAATTTGGGAGGAAAGCCCGAAGTGAAGGAGGTCTCAGACGTTTACCACTTCGGTGAAACCCACGAGAACGGGTATGGTGCTGACAAACCTGGAAACATAATCGGGGCGAACCAGGATTCGAACCCACAATCATAGGTTTTCTAGCGTGCCCAAGGGACGCAACTCTGCACAGCGAAACAATTCTATAAGTAGATGCTGCACGAACCATTTTACCCTAAACATTACAAAATAAAATTAGTAAAGGGAACTAACGCATTTTTCTTTTCACTGGTTTCAGTAACAGAAGTAATATTATGTACATGTTCTGTGGTAGATGGACCACTCCTGAAGTCATTCAATCAGACAGTCTTCATACAATTCAATAGAGATTCTGCTATTTAATTCTCTCAAGCATGTCATCGATTCAAATTGCGTGGATCGATGCTCATGATGTCAATCACTGGATTGTCTGGTCCAGACTCGATTTTTGTACAGACCGTCGTCATAATGCTGGAATATTGCTGAGAGTGGTGTCCAACAACCAGCCAGCAAACAAAAAGACTCATCAGGAATCTTATCTGCATCTGGGTTACAATTAGTCTTCATCAACCCATGTTAGTCACAAGAGGTGACTAACGGGATCGGGTCGTGAGGCTCGCTGAGTTGGTTGGTGAATGAATCGTGTCCCAATTGCGTTGCTCGATGCACATATCAATCACTTACTCAACAGACAGCCGTGAACAACAAAGTAACAACTTCTACCACAACAAACAGGTTATTTGATGAAAGAACATTGGGCGTTCTGCCCCAGGCTCGCACTCATTAACCCGAAGCACGGAGGTATCTGAATGACGTCACGCTAAAAATAGTTTACCAGCGTAGTACATTACAGGTTGTGTTGCAATCTGGGAAAACCCTGGCTTAAGATAGACCAACGGTTATACATTCAAATGGGGAAAGGTGTACATATCTATTAAGGTTGATGTAGTATGTTATGTGAACAATTTATGTTTTATGTTTTTAAACTTTCTTTCTTGGGAAATGTATTTACCTACGGGCGTCAGACAGTGTGGGATTCATTAATTCACCTTTAGCGAGGTGGACACACGCTATGTAAGCTGTTTTGTTTTTTTTAAATATTCACATTTTTGTTATGAAGACGCCTTGTCATAAAACTACTAGCATATCTCAAGTAAATGCGATAGTTTACATACAAACTGCTGCGTAGTTGAAATATTGAAATAATGTGTATCTATAGTGTTTTCATGCTGAGAGAAACTGCTTTGTTGATATGAGAGTGGTATGCGGGACGCTGCCCTTACATCTGTTCACCGTCTGTAGTGACCTAAAGAAGAGCTGTGTAGTGATCCGTTGAAGAGTGTTTAAACAAGCTCAGACATGTCAGGGGGCTTTCAGTCGAGTCTATGATGTAGGGGTGATTCATTCATAAAACACGCCAGAGGTTCAGTCTAAGGATGTATAGTGACCACACCTATCACCCCTCGCATGAATGCAATGGAAAATGTCATATGTGTGCATGGAAACGTTTATCATCTGCACACAATGAACTCATCCTTTTCTAACCTTTATAAACGGAAGAGCGGCATTGAAATTTCATATTGTTGTCTGCCAGCAACCGAGACGGACGTTTGACAGTACGCTATCATCTTTAGCCTTGACTCACGTACAGTTCGCGGTTTGTGTTTACAAAGGTAATTGAATGCCATTCAAGCACATACACCTTGCTTTCAAAGCTATATCTTAGACACTGTCATATTGTTAAATAATGAAGATGAAGTACTTTTTGGTTGAGATAACAAAATATAATGCTATCCTTATGATCCATTACTGGTTTAATTTGCAACCGAGACCACAACAACGAACTTACTATGCATTTATCAAGTAGAAAGTCTGTTGTTAATTTTAAGAACTTCTACAGGTAATTTTTATTTTATTTTGTTTGTAGAATGGAATCGAAACAAAACTTCCTGAACAGTGTGAAGATACTGTCTGAGTTGGAAACTTGGGCCACTGCTAACAATTGTACAGATGATCCAGAAGTCAATCTCAAACGAATTGAATTGTTAACATCCAGAGTGAATGCACAATCTGTATCTACACCAGTGTTGTCCATAGGTAACATTTGTCACATCTGCCAGAAGTCGTTTAAGCAGCGTCAAAGTTTGCTTAGACATATTCGTACTGTTCACGGCAATGAAAAAATCACATGTAAAGATTGTAAACACTCATTCACCAGACGGGATAACTTGGAAAATCACCGCTGTAACCTAAAACGGAAGTCAACACATACTTGCCCCGAACCGGAACGTCCCTGCTTACGACCACCTGCTAATACTCTACCGGCTGGAGTAGCAACCTGTAACTGGTGTGGTCACACCAAGTGTTTATTACCCGACAAGCTCTTCTGTCAGCAATGCTCGACAAGAGGTCGGGAATGTCTCAATGGTCGGCGACCTCTCCCTGAGCGGTTTTACAGCCAGCAAGTGAATCAATGTGACAGCTGCGTGAGATGTCGGGAGCGGTACCAGGTCAGGCGAGGGAGGTCATAGTGGGAGGTCAGAGGTCAGCTCTTGAGGGTAGTGTGTCAACTATAACACTGACTCCCACAGATGTAAACAGCGTTGACATCCTTCAGTTTTTAGCTGATGAACAGGTTAACATTGAATCAATCTTACAGGATTATTTGTCAAGTAAAAAAGGTATGAAATGGTTTCCGACGTTAAAACTCAAATTTATAAAGTACGACGAAAACAATGAAAGTATATTAGCAGAGCCCATTCTGAGAACTATCAACTTTTGGTCCACAAACGTTTCTGAAATTGAGCAACAGTTAGCAGAGGCTTATCAGAAATTATATACATCAACACAGGAATTTCAGGCTGAAGGGAGTGGGTGGGTGCTAGACCATATTATTCATGTTGAAGTGAACACAGCTGAGTATGTCCCCCTGGCCGCAAGTTCTTACATTCCTCTACCTGATTATCTCGTTGACAAGAAAGCCATTTTGAACATAAAGAATGATGATCAAAAGTGTTTCATATGGTCTATACTAGCTGCCCTGCATCCAGTAGATAGAAAAAATCATCCTGAAAGAATTAAAAAATATAATGCGTATGAACATGAACTTGACTTGAAAGGCATTGATATACCTGTACCCCTCTCCCAAATTTCAAAATTTGAAAAGCAAAAAGACATTTCTGTCAATGTATTCGGTTATGAAGAAGATGATGGCGTGTTCCCATTACATATAAGTTCAAATAGTTTCAATCCAGCAGTAGATTTGTTGCTTCTAAGTCAGGAAGACAAAAGACACTTTTGTCTAATTCGAAGCTTTAGTCGACTGATAGGAGACTAGACCAAACATCATGGTACCACATATTATTGTAAACGATGCCTCCATGGGTTTACTAGGACAGATTTATTGAAGGATCATAGTCTTCACTGTTCCACTCACTCTATTCAGAAAATTAAGTTACCTCAAAGTGAGAAACAAACATGGGTGAAGTTTAAAAGTATTTGCAAACAGCTGCGTGTACCCTATGTCATTTACTGCGACTTTGAAGCAATTACACGAAAAGTGAGTGGTTGTCAGCCTAGTCCTAACTCCTCTTATACTTCGGTCTTTCAGAAACATGAACCCTCTGGTTTCTGCTATAAGGTAGTTTGTTCACATCCAGACTATTATCAACCTGCTGTGGTCTACAGAGGACCCAGTGTCATTTCTCATTTCATAGATTGTCTCCTGAAGGAGGAACAGTTAATTAATGAAAAACTGAAAGTCCCAGAACCTATGTCTCTAACAGAAAGTGACGAAATGGCTTACCAAATGGCTGACACATGCCATATTTGTTAAAAACATTTTAATTCTGAGTCCATAAAAGTGAAGGATCACAACCATGTTCAGCCTGGCTACAACTTTCGTGGAGCAGGTCATCAGAAATGTAATCTCCAATACCAGTTCAAAAAGATAAAAGGTAAAACCCAGAATCGTGATAAAGAGTTTTTCATACCTGTGATCTTTCATAATCTCCGTGGCTATGATAGCCATTTGATGATGAAACAACTGAATAAGACTGTCAAAGAAAAACTTGACTGCTTGGCCAACAACATGGAAAAATACATTTCCTTTTCTATTGGTAACCTCAGGTTCATTGACTCTTGACAGTTTCTCAATGCATCTCTAGATACCTTGGTGGAAAACTTGGCGGATGAAAGTTCTGACAAATTTGTGAATTTAAGACAGGAATATCCCGATGAAACACAATTGAAGTTATTGTTGAGGAAAGGGGTGTACTTTTTGGATGACGAGTCTAAATTTGCAGTGTGTGAACTTCCCACCCAAAATCACTTCTACAATACTTTGACTGATAGTTCTATCTCAGATGAAGACTATGCGCATCCTCAAAACGTATGGTCTACCTTTGATCTCAAAACCATGGGAGACTATCATGATCTCTATATGAAAACTGATGTTCTCTTATTAGCCGACATTTTTGAAAATTTTAGAGACACTTCCTTGGAATATTGTCAACTTGATCCAGCTCATTATTATACTCTTCCTGGCTTGGGATGGGATGCCAAGCTGAAAATAGGCAATGTAGAGTTAGAATTGCTAACTGATTTTGACATGCATTTAATGATTGAAAAGGGGTTGACTAAGGGGTGGCATATCCATAATCTCGACCAGGTATGCGGAAAGTAACAATCCACATGTTAAGGAATATAACCCAAGCGATCCTAATTCTTACCTCATCTATCTGGATGCGAACAACCTGTATGGGTGGGCCATGTCTCAAGCCCTACCTGCATGTGACTTTCATTGGGTTGCTGATGATGATTTAGAACAGTTAAACATTAAAGATGTAGCTTCTGACTCTGACATAGGATATATACTGGAGGTAGATCTTGAATATCCCCAACAGTTACATGACAGTCACAATGATTATCCTTTAGCCCCAGAGTCTATGACAATCACTGATGACATGTTATCTCATTATTCAAAGAAAACTTATGTATCAAAGGACAGCCTGTCAGAAAACTCGTTCCAAATCTGTATGACAAGCAAAAGTATGTTCTGCATTATAGGAACTTACAGTTTTATCTGAGTCAGGGTATGAAACTGTCTAAAATTCACAGAGCTATACAGTTCAAACAGTCCACATGGTTGAAGCCCTATATAGATTTTAATACCCAGAAAAGAAAAGAGGCTAAGAACGAGACAGATAAAGCTTTCTTTAAATTGGCTAATAACTCAGTGTTTGGAAGGACAATGATGAATGTGAGGAAGCATGTCAATGTAGAACTAGTCAATTCATCCAAACGTTTGAAAAAATGATGTGCTAAACCCACCTTTGAGGCGTTCAAAATATTCAATGGAGATTTAGCAGCTGTTCACCTGAAAAAGACTAGCTTGTATCTGAATCAACCTGTCTATACAGGCTTTTCTATTTTGGACCTGTCAAAGATAGTCATGTATGACTTTCACTATAATCATATTAAGCTAAAGTATGGTGAGAAGGCACAGCTGTGTTTCACAGATACAGATTCCTTGTGCTATTTAATTGAAACACCGAACTTGTACGCTGATATGGCAGAACATCGGCATATGTTTGACACCAGTACCTATGATAAATCACACCCACTCTATTCCAAAACGAATGCCAAGGTGCTAGCCAAGATGAAGCATGAACTCGGAGGTGTCCCTATGGAGGAGTTTGTTGGTCTTAAACCTAAACTATATTCCTTATCATATAAGGGAAAAGAGAAGCAAACGGCTAAGGGAGTGAGCAAAACAGTGATCAAGAATCAATTAAGGCACAGCCTGTACAAAGACTGTTTGTTTGATCAAAAACAATTCAGACACAACATGAATCAAATTCAGAGTCAAAACCATCAACTCCACACTGTCAGTATAAACAAAATCAGTTTAAGCCCGTACGATGATAAAAAATTTGTTTTGAAAGATAAGATTCATACGTTAGCTCATGGACACTATAAAATTCCTTCTACCAATGTGTAAAGTGTGTTTTAACTACATAAAAACCTTCTAAGCCTTTCGCCTCCCATTCTTTATCAGCTTCACTGAATTTAGAGATCACTAAAGGCCGTAGGACATCGCTTTCATCAGCTGTCTCCATTTTAACTCGTTTCCTCAAAGGTTCCCCTCCATTCTCAGGGCACCACGATCTGACATGATGCTGAAGGTCATGATTATTTTCAAACACAATACCACACTCATCACAGGAAGGCATAGTTGTATCACTAGTGTCATCCTCTGATTCACTGTCCACTGGGGTGTCTACTTCTGAGATGTGATCTCTTCTGGTGTCTTGGCTTCAAATGATACTGACTGACAGTCTGCTCCTCTTTTATAGGCTGTGGGGTGATGACTGTTTCAAGTACATTAGGTTGTAGTCTTCCTGATTCAAAAGGTAGAAGGACGCAAGTCGATTGTCAGATTGCCATAGGGTTTTTCAACAGCTTCTTTATACACTGGCATAAACCGATCAGTATTGTTTGGACAGATGCGACTGGCAAACAAGTTGACTTGATGTCTGTCGACGGGGGAATTAAAGAGTGTCATGTAATGAGAATTCAAAGCAATGTCACGTGACTCCTTGCCTCTGGGAAACAGGTTTTGCAATAGTAGGACGATAATGACATTGTTATGGTGAGAGGTTCGGGTAAACAGGTGGGAGATGCGTTTATCATCTTTATCCTCTGACATGAGGTCATCCAGTACAATCATATTGTTATCAGAGCATCCAAGTAGTTTTCATCTTGTAAGTTGTGTAGAATCCCTTTGATAAACTTAACTTAAGGTATGATTTGATAGATAGTGTCATAGAGAGGTTGCCACTCAGCGTAACACCGTATGATATTGTTCGGTATTGGATTGATGAGTCCTCTCTGCAGTATGTTATAGACAAACAGACTTTCCACTGCCACTTGGACCTACAGTCACTGCATTAGAGGGGATGGTAAACTTGAACTGTCCTGCATGCTTAGGTGGTGGTAGTGGTGGTGGTGGAGGAGAAAATTGTGGTGGTGGTGGTGGTGGATGCTTATTCCTTCTATGTCTCAGCATAGCATCTTTCCTAGAAAACTGTTTCTCACACTCTGGACATGATGTGGACTCCATGACGATAGAAATGCAACTGACACTGGAACAAGAGGAAGACCCTTATATACTCTGCAGATCAGCCTCTGGCATCCAACTGTTAAACTTTTTATGATAGCCCATCCATTTCACAAACACCTCTTTTACGCCAGCTCGTTTCCTTTTCTTCAAAACTTTTTCCACTCTCCACACAGTGTCTGCAGGCTTGTCTACTCTCTGTAGTTCATTTGCATAGAAACTAGCTTGAACTTGATCATCCGCCATATCTTTCAACAGATAGATCGGTATACCATCGCGATAGTACCTTCTTCTGTAGATGAATATATTTCCTCAGTCCATTTTTCGTGATAGTCTCTTTGAAATATATGTCTCAAATGAGACAGTCTCACTTGATCGCCCACTTTAAACTTAAAGGGTTTCTTCATTGACTTCTGTTTGATTTCAGCTTTCGATTTG